TTTACTGTGTCATCTACAGATGATTTTATCTTTTCTTCACTGTGTTTTCCTGATATCTTTTTAAAAATTAAGTTTACTATGAATTTGTAAATTTATTTCTTACCTCTCCATTACTTCACTGCTCTTGCCTATGCTTTCATGATTGTAACATGTTGTATTGTGTTCATGGTATCTTTTCATGCATTCAATTTTTAAATTTTGATGAAATTAAATGTCTTTTTTCTGCTGTTGCTTATGCTTTCTGTGATATATCTACCAATTAGTGTCATTATTCCATTCATGGTAATGAAGATATTCTTCTGTTCTTATTTGTAAGTTTTGTGGTTTTAGCTATTAATCTTTAAGCCTTTGGTTTGTTGTTTGGTAGATTCTGGTTATGGTTTGAGCTAGAGGTTAAATTTCTTGCATTTATATTAAACATTTCCTTGGGAAAAGGTCTTTTTTAAATTTATATTTAAAATTTCAATGAACATATGCATCTGTACATATTGGTGTGATATGATGTGATATTTCAAAATGTATATAATGGGTGCTGATCAGATCAGGGTAATTGACATAGCTATCAAGTCACACCTATCATATTTTATTTTAAGAACATTCAACTTTCTCTCTCATAGCTACTTTGAAATGTACAATTATTTTAATCCAAGTTACCACACTGTCCTATTGCTAGGACAAAGTATCCAACGTCTGCAATTTAAATTAGAAGAAGTTTTTGTTTTTGTTTTTGCTCATGTTTTTAGTCCATTGTCAGCTGGCTCCAAGACAGAAACCATATAGCTGTGGCAGAGGAAAATGTGCTCAACCCATGATGGCCAGGAAGCAGACAAAGAAAGGAAGAGCCAGTGAGGGGAATATTGTATAGGCTTCTAGGTCATATCCCCAGTGACCATCTCTTCTGATCATGCTCCACCTTCTAACAGCATGTTTAGCTCTGAATGTATCAGTGCATTCATCTACTGCTCAGGATAGGGCTTCTGTCATCTAATCACCTTTCAAAAGCCCCACCTGTAAACATCTGTGCCTCTTCGGGAACACTCTAGATCTAAACCCTAACAATCCGCCCCTGGGCCCCGAAGTACTCACGTCTATATCATGATGAAAAGTGCATTTAGTCCATCTCCAAGAGTCACCCAGCTTTGATAGTTCTAATATTGATGAAAAGGCTAAGTCTAAATTTTCTCTGAGACACAAGGCAAACTTTTATCTATGAGTGATTGGAAAAATGAAAAAGAGAGTTAAATATTTCCAAAATACAAGGGGATTGTTAAACATTTCCATTACAAAAGTGAAAAATAAGTGTATAGAAAGGAATGGGATTAGAGCAAGACTGAAACCCAGCAGGACAAGCATGAAATATGTAGCATTATGTGCAGACCCCAGGGGAAGCTTTGGTGAGATCTGAGCACCAAAGATATTTTATGAAAGTAGAAAATAAAAGTGTATGTCCTCCTTTCTTCAGAGGACTTGACAGTATGCTACATTCTCAAAGTCAAGTTTCAGGGAAAATAATATACAATGCCAATATTTTTAAACTGGCACTTAAATATATAAATATTTGTAGGCTAACATTTAATAATTAGATATGTATATATGCTGTGTAATGTTGAAATCAGGGTGAGGTTATCTGTGTTCACAAATATTATAATTTCTTTGTGGTAAAAACACTCAAGATCTTTCCTTTGATTCATTTTTATTATTTATTCTTTTTATTATTTAATATATTCCTTTTATATTTGCAAATTAACCATGTAATCAAAGCTGTAGGATTGAAAATGTACAATAAAAAAATGGAAAATGGAACATGCATCAATTGCAGAACTGATTTAACAGATGGTGAGGTGAAGGAAAGATTAAATGGAGACACACAGTCTGAGGAGAAATAAAAGTGAATAGAATGAATAAAACTGATGGAAACTTATGAGCTTTAAAGGATATTTTCAAAGACAAATTGTTCAAGTTAGTGAAGTGAAAGATGGGGTACATAAAGGAGAAGTACGATTATTTCAATAAATATTAACTGAAAATTTTACAAATGTAGACAATGTTTAAAAGGACAATTTTATTCTAACAAGGACTTATATCAAAAACTAATATTTTTAAAAATAACTACCCCGAAGCTATACTTTCAGGAATTAGAAAAATAAAAGTGACCTGACACCAAAATTAATAGAATAAAGAAATAATAATGATAAGAGCAGATATAAATGCTATAAAATGAAATAGAAATTAAGAAAAAAACAAGAGACCAAAACAATGAAGCAAAGAGGTCATTTTGTGAAAAGATAAACACAATGAACAACCCATTATCTAGAGCAAAAAAGAACAATGTTAGAAGACTCAAATTAAGAAAATCTAAATGTAAAATTTACCACTGATACCACAAAAGTATCAAGAATTGTAAGGTACTTTTTCTGAGTTATGTACCAAAAATTGTATACAAATGAAGATACGAGTAAAGTTCAGGACATATGAATTGTGCAGAAATAGAAACTGAGGAGAATAGTAACAAGTGAAGATGCACTTAATTTAATAAATCTGCCAATAAAAGAAAAAAGAAACAGGAACTCATGGTTTCATTGTTGAATTTTACTAATCATATAAGAGAAAAACTAGTGCTAAGTCATTACAGCTACTGAAGAAACATGAACTATAAGGAGTAATTTCGAATGGAATTTATGTGTCTAGGATTTCCCTAAGAACAAAACAGAACAACAACTAAAAACAAATTACATGCCACTATCCCTCATGTACATAGATGCAAAAATCCTCCACATGATACTAGCAAACTAATTTCTATAGTGTATAAAAAGATCATTGAGCATGATCCAGTCAAAGCTATCCCAAGAATGGAAGGGTGTTTCACAATGAAAATCAACAAACATAATGTATCACATAAACAAAATGAAAGGCAAAAATATGTTATCAGTCAAAGCAGAAAAATATCGGGCAATATTTAGCATTCTTTATGATCAAAATTTTCCAAAACTGAAAAATGGAAGAAATGTGTCCCACAATTCCTAAGAGCTAAATCTTAGAAGTGGCCTTTATGCCAATCAACAGATACGTGCATAAAGAAAATGTCTTATTTATATACAATGGAGTACTACTCAGCCATAAAGAAAGATAAACATGAGTCATTTGTAGGAAAATGGATGCACCTTATATCATAATGTTAAGTGAAATAAATCAGACACACAAACTTAAATATCAAATAGTTTCTCTTAAATTAGAAACTCAAAATATAAAGAGCAAAATAAAAGAAAAATAGTAATTAATGCTAAGATAGATCTTTTGCAAATGAGAAAAGAACCAAGAGATGTGGACAGGTGGCAAGGAGGGAAGGGCAAGGGGATGAAAATCTAACTGAGGTGTGTTATATATGTGTACTAACTCCCCATGAGGAAGATAATCAGTATATACCGAAAACCTGTGCTAATAAAATTTTAAAATTTAAAAACTAAATAAAAAATAACACCTGAAGAAATATATCCCAACACAAGCAATCTAAGGATTGATCTATAATCTACCCATAAATAATACCAGATTGTACTTGGTTGGAAGAAATCAACAGTGTTCCACTTAATATCTGGAACAAGTTATGCATGCCCACACTCCACCAACAAATATCATACTATAATTCCTAGGCAGAGGTTTATGGATAGAAAAAAATAGCATCCATATGAATTGGAAAGACTGAAGCTAAACTGTACTATGTAGAGGACATGTTCTTTTATGTAGAAAATCCAAAGGAGTCACCTAAAACTGTTAACAATAATGAATAAAGTTACTATATATAAAAACCAAGATTCCCACATCAATATGTGTCTACACACCAACCATGTGCAAGAAACTGAAATCAAGAAAACAATTCCACTTATAAAAGTTATAAAAATAAAATACTTTGAAATAATTTAAACAAGTAGGCAAAAACTACATACTTTGAAGGCTACAAATCATTAATGAAAGCAGTTGAAGAAGGAACCAAAAATGTAGAAGGATATTACACATTTGTAGATTAGAAGAATTAATATTGGGAAAGTGTGGCTATCACCTACGTTGAACAATAGATTTTATTCTATTCTATTGTTGAACAATATATTTTATTTAGTCTCCATCAAAATATTAATGATAAACTCCACAGAAAATTTTAAAAATACTAAAATTTTATGAATGTACAAAAGCTTCAAAGCAGTCTTAAGAAATAAAGCAAGAAGCATCACACTATCTGATTTTAAAATATATCACAAAAGAATGGGGCTTTAGCTCAGTGGTAGATCATTTGCCTACCCTAAATAGGGCCATAGTATTATATACTTATTTTAAAAAGAAACTAAAAAGAAGGTTACAAAAAGTTTGAGGACATGAGGAAAAATGAATACTTCTACATTGTTGGAAGAAATGTAGTCTTGTACGACCACTATGGAAGTCAGTATGTAGACTCCTTAAACAACTAAAAATGGAAAATCCATTTGACCCAGCCATATTGCTCCTGAGCATATTCTCCAAAGAGTTACAAACATCGTAGTAATGTCATACATGCAAACTCATATGTAAAGCAGCATAATTAACAATAGCTAAACTGGAAACAGTTTAGATGCCCATCAACAGGTTAATAGGTAAAGAAGTTAATCAGCTATAAAAAGAAGTCGTATCATTTGATGAAAATGCATGAGAAACTTGAGACCATAATGTTAACTGAAATGTGTCCTGCAGAAAATTAAATACCATATGGTGTCTCTCATATGAGAAACTTAAAATAGAAATAAAAAGAGTAGAATGAAGGGGAAATGATAGAAAATCAGAAGGTAGGATTTTTGGAGATGAGGAAGGATGTCTAGAAGACAATAAGAGGCAGAAACATGTTGAGGGTTGTAAAAGAATTGAAAATGGTCAAGGTATGTTATGTATTTTTACTAATTCTCCAATATAAATGTAACTATTGCATCTTATAAACATACAATAATAAACATTTTAAATAAATAGAAGAAATACAAAACATTACCATTGGAAAGAGTTTACCATGCAACATAATTGTTTACTTAAGAAAGTTTTTGGCTGTCTATTAAATATAAAAACAGCTCACATTGGCTACTTACAAAGACAATTGCAATCTTGGAGTAACTTTGAAGAAGCAAAAGTTCAATTTGTGTACTATTCAATGTTGGCAGTAATCCTCAGACAACACCAGAGTCATACCTTAACTGGAAACAAGAAACCCACTGACTCAGTTAGACACCTGAACACAGCTCTATATTGAAAAACAACTTTATTTATTAAGCATATTTTGAAATATTTCATTTACAGAGAGTTGGCAATATACCTTTTGTTCCCCATGTTATGATTCATTGCTCAGTGTTCCAGAAATGCAAACAAATCTAGTTAATGTAATGGAAAAGTTTGAATGTGCACAATTGTTTAGACAGTAACTTTAGGACAAAGGCACAGAGGGTACAGTATGGTCACAGAGGTGTTAATGGGAAGGAAACTTTTAAAACACAGCAGGTCCATGGATATGAAAGCAATGAATTATACTAAATTTTCAATGTGATCAAATTTAGTGACTATAAGTGAAAGTGCACAACAGCAGAGCCAGGAAGAACACAGAGCAGTGATATCCAGTGACCCCACACAACATTAAAAAGTATCTATGGAAAGGAGATATTGAAACAGGAAAATAATAATGTAAAAACCAGATAGAATAATAACAAGCTACATGATGTTGAGAAACAATGCATTTGCTTATGACATTTGAATCCAACCAACTCATCCACTACAATAAATTCATTTCTCACTTGCTTTTTTGAATTTGGTCCCTTGAGGGACCAGCATCCTAATGCACTCTGAAATTTAAAAATCTCTCATAGTTAAATTCATATAAATCAGAATCTCTGGTGATAATAACCAGCATCTATACTTTTATTCTTCCTGGGTGATTCCAATCAAAGCCAAAATTAGGTATAAGTGATATGGCTTATGGATATAACCAGCCCAAATAGATATCATCAGTGCAATTTTTAAATAAAATAAACATGAACTTTGAAAACAGATGCAAATTTTAAATATATAGAACTTTGAACATTTTACCTAGAAGCCAATGTCATTTCTCAGAAACTATAGAAGCTGCCTGTTTATAATGTTTTGTTCATGATATTTATGATTAAAAGCAGATTCAAGAATATTTGTGCAACTTAGTTAAAAATGGACAGAAGGAATCAATATTTAAGGATGAATCATGAATGAAAAGAAAGGCATAAAGCTACAAGTGTGAACAGAGAGGCAGAATTTGCTGGTCTATATGGTTAGATTATTACCAGGTATAGATGATTGAAGTTTACAACACAAATTACAAAATGGAAGCAAGAGATATTAAGACTGCATTGTTCTGATCTGCAGCCTCCGCAGGGCACATTTTATGTCGTTATTCCTCAGGCTGTAGATGAAGGGATTGACCATTGGGATAACTGCACTGTACATCACTGAAGCTGCTGAAATCTTTATAGGAGAATATGACACAGAGGATGTAAGATAAATGCCAATGGCTGTTCCATAAAATAAACAAACAACTGAGAGGTGAGACCCACAAGTAGAGAAGGCTTTATGCTTCCCACTTGATGATGGGATTCTCAGAATGGAGGAAACAATTTTATAGTAAGAGAAGAAGATCCCTGAAAGGGGATGGAATCCATAGATGACACCTACAAAATATGTGACTATATTTTTGGTAAAGTTATCAGAACAGATGAGATGTAGAAGTTGAGAAGGTTCACAGAAGAAATTAGAAATGTTCACATCCTCAAAATAGGTAAAATGTACGGCAATCAAATTGTGCAACTGGGATTCTAAAAGACTAAACAAAACAGATAGCATGACTAAGAAGACACAGAGGCGAGGGTTCATGATGACATGGTATTGCAGGGGGTGGCAGATGGCCACAAATCTGTCATAGGCCATCACAGTGAGAAGCATGTCATCCATACATCCAAATATTAAAAAAAGAGACATCTGTGTCAGGCAGCCTTTATAGGAGATGACCTTACTCTGTAATCGGATGTCCATAATCATCTTTGGGACTGTTGTGGAGATGAAACCGATGTCAGCCAAAGACAAGTTGAAGAGAAAGAAGTACATGGGGGTGTGGAGGTGGGAGTCTGAGATGATGGCCAGGATGATGAGCAGATTCCCTAGCAGAGCCACCAGGTACATGGACAGGAAGAGTCCAAAAAGGATGGGCTGAAGTTCTGTATCTTCTGAGAGCCCCAAGAGATGAAATTCTGAGATGTGTGTTAATTTTTTTTCTTCTGAACTTCTTGGGCACCTTTTGCAAAAGAAAGTAGTGTTGGAGAAAAGAAACAAACACCAGGTACTCAGACAATTGTCCAAATTGCTTTGATGTGCATATTTTATACACTGTGCATGGGTTAGGACAGTTAGGACCACTTTATCTGAACATTAAATTAAAGTTGATTGCTCATAATCAGAAGACATTTTATATGTGTCAGTTATCTTCCAGGATTTTTTCTATTTTCTTCTGTTATCTAATGACCCTCTTTTGTAGATAAAGTGCTCACTCAAATATATTTTTTGTATTTTTAAAGTTGTTTAATATATAACTTGTACTCTTACCTTGGTGGATTTCACCTCCTGATAAGTATATTTAAGTTAAATGCACATACCCAATGTCATCACTGACTACCAATGTGCTGTTGGTGTGTACCTCATATCAATAATTAAACAATAATGTAGAAAGGCAGCTCTTTGCTGTCTCCCATTCTATATTCTACAGTTAGGGACCTAAGAATACTTCTTCTGCTTTGCTAATCTTAAAACCTTTTTGCATATGATTAAAGACTTCAGTACCAAGGAAATACTCAAAGTTTAAGTTTGAGCCAGGTGTATCTTATACAATTTAATAGATATTCACAGCAATATTTCCTGGTACATGGGTTGCAATTCTTTCCTCAGGTACTTGAAGATGATTTGTGTTTATTATTTTATCAGCTCACAGTACAGATTCATAGGGAAAAATACAAAATTAAACACTATAAACATTATGAAAATACATGACCACAGTATAGTCAGGTGTTGAAATAGAGACAGTAACTAACTATAGCATTATAAAAATTTTTAATTTTTAAATTGCAGAGAGTAGCAGTACTAAGTCCCATTTATGAATATGTTTGCCTGTAAACAATTTAATATCTGAAAACCCTGGTTTAGGACCCCGTATAATTTTTTCATAGTATCTACAGATAAAGTTTTGATGTTCCTTTTCTGTACCAAGGTTGAAAATATTTTGAAAATTTCCTAGCATTTCAAAAATGACCCATTAGTATTATATGTAAATATAGTTAATAATAC